TTTACTGCGATGTTTTGTCTGAGATTCACTCCTGTTTGCCATGTGCGCATCAAATCATGGTCCCAGAAGTCCTCCAGCTGCTCATATTAGACAATAACCTTAAGGCTATCCACGAATTACTCGCATAACGACATTCGTTCTGAGCTACGGTTTTTGGCCGGTAAATGCTTTTCAACTGGAAGACATTGGTGTATGTGCTCCAACTCTTTGGACGTCTGCAGGTTGCCGGTAAAAATAACATTACACTCATGGCAGAAATCTGAATTTCCATAGTCGAGAATACATATGGATCTGTCGAAAGTTTCGTTCCTAGTAATGGTCGGTGCCTATACCAAGTGGCCGTAAGTTAACGTGATACGGAACGTGTCTGTAGTCAGCACAGCTCATTCATTACGACATACTTTCAGTCAACATGTCTTGCCGGAAACAATTGTCTTTGACAACAGATCGTCATCATCAACATTGTGTGCAGAGCCAGCCGGGAGGTGTCTTCTAGATTCCAACCGGTTCACCGACCTCTCGGATATCCAGTGACTGGTGCGGTGACGATGGATAGTTCCACAAGCAGATGCTCCTGCGTCGTGCATGGCGGCCGAGGTCCTATTCCACTGAAGCTCACTATCATTAGGGCAAGGCAGCGGAAGTTCGGTATCAGTGCTTCTTGATAGGCTTGCCTGACCAAGGACTGAGACAATTTCTCCGTTGCCAATCGTAGGGGACACCTGGTGCGCCTCCCGGTAAAGTTCATGGAGAAACGACAGCGTACCAAGGCATGATCAGAGTCGACACAGGTACTCCAGTATGAGCGGCAATCCAGGATGGAACCACGCCACCTGTAACTTATGGCTATGTGGTCAATTTGGGTCCATCGCTGGCCAGCTACAGGAGGACGCCAAGTGGCACTTCGGCGCCCACTGTGTCTAAAAGCAGTGCTACTAAGAAACAACTGGTGCTCCGCACACAGTTGTAGCAGGCGCTCACCGTTGTCAGTCCGTACGGAGTTAAGTTCACAATTACCACTCAGCTGAGCTTCTGAAGAGCTCAGACGCTCTACTTGTGCATTCATATCCCCTGCAAGTACTATAATATCTGAACTAGTAGCATTGAGTAGTAGCGCGTTCGGTTCGTGATAGAATGTGTCCTTGACAGCATTAGAACTGCAGTCGGTGGGAGCATAAGCGGAAATCACAAACAAACAGCGTTTTGTACTACTTCGTGAATCAACCTTAGCTGATGTCGTCAAACGGGCTGCACATAAGCGGCTGTTCACCGGAATCCAATCAACCAACAATGGTTCAGCCTTGGTGCTTAGAATGATACCAACACCAGCTTGTCCCGTGATAGCTGCATCGGCGTCTCTGGATGCGTTCAACCAATAACGAGAGGATAAGCCGGGTGCAGTTAATTCAATAACCCCTTAGGGTCATTGATCCTAGTTTCGGACACACAACACACATCAATACCCAGTGTGTCCAAGGTGCGTACGAGTGCAGCCTGTTGACCTGTTTGTCTTAGAGTGCGAACGTTGAATGTCGCCATGGAAACGGGATAGCGTGGCCTTATAAGGGACTTTTGCTGATAGGCGTCCGATAGGTGCGGTGGGATGGTGGCTGCAGATGGTTCTACTCCAGTGGCATTTCTGTTGCTGTCAATTAAGCTGGGAATTATAGAAGGAAGGGTTAGTAATGGGGATGGGAGTAAGAGAAAAAGGTGGAAAAGAAAGAACGGAGGCGCCAGCAGTAGCATGTTTTCGCTTATCCTTCCTGCTGTATGCAGCAGATAAGGCGACCCTTGATAATCTGCGCGACGGCCTATGCAGGATGAAGTTTATGTTTGGAGAAAAAGTCATGGTTGTATGTAAGCTGAGATACTGCCAGGGCGCCCAGACCTAGACAGGAAGATGACTCGAGTCCTCATCCAAAGCCTTTGGCTCAAAAGGCTGTCCACAAGGCAGCGGGGTGGCAGTGATTTAGTTTTACAGAAATGGACGCCATCCAATTTCAAACCGCCAACCTGGAGGACCAGGAGGCTGAGTTTGTCTGACTTCTCACCATTGACCAACCTGGTGGAGTAGCTCTCAAGGTGCCCGGAGGCACCACCCAGTATGGCTCAATGGGTCAATGAGGTATGCAAACCGTCGCACCACGTTAAGCTCCAGTCTCGTTCATACCAATTTTCAGGTGAAATCCTTAGTATTCTTGTAGCGAGAGCGCATTTTCTTAAGCTTAGTGGTAATTTTACGCATGGAGGCATCATCGGGATTTTGAGGTTTCCTGATCGTGCTCTACACTGAGGTTAGGATATCGAGACAAACCGTGAAGTTGTGGTATAGTTCACAGTGTCCGTACTAGTTGTTAGGAAGGAAGCGTCCGAAGGAGCGGCACGGAGAAATGAGGAGAAGGTTTCCCAATTCATGTGCTGGAGAGGCCTAAAAGCAGTGTAGACTGGGCTAACAACAGATCGTAGCTGACATCTGGTTAGTTTATCGAGCTCTGTGCACACAGTAGAATTGAACACATGAAGAATGTTCCCATTATCTAATAGGCAAACGGAAAGGTTATAGGCACTCTAAATTGAACGCTACTGTTATCGAAGGGTGAATAAACATTAGACGAAAGATAGAAAGGTTTTTGTTGAATTACCAAATTACCCCAAATCCCAATCCCCTAGAGGGGAAGTCACCTGCTGATGTACTGATAAGTCGGAAGCTGAAAACCATCATATTTAAGTGAGGTTCATCGCAGCCAGTTTCCAAATCAGATAGTCATCCACATGCCCGGAAAACACTAGACTACAGTTTCAGCTTGTTGGGCATCGTCAGTAGTGCGCATCCATCAGGATTCAAATCCGTGACCACCAGCGGCTTGAACTGTCAGTCAGCAGCTTATGCCACGGGGGACAGATTCGGACCGTCATGATCTACAAGCTAACTGCGATATAACGCGTCTTATCCTCCACTGCCATACAGATTACGAACGTTGCAGAGGACAGGTTTGGCCCCGAAAAACACAACATCCACTAACAGTAGCCATGTACGAAACTGCAGTCTAGTGCTTTCCGGGCATGTGTACGACTATCTGATTTGGAAACTGGCTGCGATGAACCTCACCTAATTACATCAAAATCCCCTACTCATGAGTACATCATCTTATATTTGTTGGCGCCTAATCACCAACTGATACGCCGCACAAATTCCGTGATAGAAAGCCAGTACAACCGGCGGTACAGAGCTAGGTCCAGGAAATTTGGTGTTGAAAACTCAGTGTTTGCTACATCTCATGGAGGACGTCGAATCAACTGGTGCAGCGCCGTGCTAGGATGATGCACCAGCTTTGCTTTGATACACAACTATGTGTCCACCGTGCCAACAAACTGAGACCGCGTTTTACAAGTATTCCAGTGACGCACGATACCAACAGTTTTGATTTTAATCCTTTTTACATACTTGGGTGCTCGGCACTTCTATCAGACAAAGTATTTAACCCTTGGATTGAAGCGAGTGGAACCCAGCCATTGCCAAGGCGAATCAGATGTTCTTGCAACCTTTACAGATTGACTTCCGACGAAAGACACACAACTCTTGGTAGCTCATCTCAACAAGGGGAAGATGTTGTAGGGTCGAATCAACCAAGCCTGATTGTCCGAATGTTGATACAGCCTGTCCTGGCCAAATACGTAAATATACTGCGTTTGAACGGAAAACAATCTGAGATTCGGTGGAGACCTACGTCCGTTCACTAGTTAATTTCAACTCGAGATATGATCATCTTTGAACTTCATTGATTTGTATTATGCCACTTTATTCCCTTGCTTCCTATAAAACTATTACCTATTGAATCAGCTCCTCGTGTTCTCCCTATCGGAGTAAGTGGAAACAGTAGGAGGCGATACCACGAAAGACTTAAAGGATATGGTCACATGTAATCGATTGGTGGCCACGTGATATCGCTTCACGCTACCACGGTAAGCTCAGTGTTCCTGTCAGCTGTTTTTGTGCGCACATCAGCGGGCGATCGCAACACATAACAATGGCCCATAAGAAGTGTAGGATGTTAAATTTATGTTTGCGCCTGAGGACCGTGAATGGTGGCGCTGTTTCCTCTGTACCGCAAGGGTTATTTTCCATCATATTTTGTTATCAGGCAACGGTCTTTTTGAGCCCGTCACTTGCCTTAATCGTTGCAAATGAAACATATCAGGACTGTCCAACCGCTTCTTACGGAGTAAACATTCTGCCAGGTACTTTTCCGGATTGGTGGTAGCATACCTGCTTTGTTATTCACTTCGATGGACTTGGCAACAACCATTGGATTACGCGCGCGCCACGGTCTCCTTACAGCCGGACCTCATTCTCATCCAGTACTATTGATATAAATTGACATGTAGCTCTTGTTACATCACACGGTTCGCATCTCTATGTGCAAGCTTTCACTGCATGACTGGTCGGGTGTGAAACCCATCCTCACCTTCACCAGCCTTCCAGTAAGTGCTCACATGCCTAGCGAACACTGGAACTTCTGATATTTACTGCGCATCAGTCAGACTCATGACGTCTTTCAATGTTCCATCCATTTATGGAGCACTTTGTTATCAGTTGGTCGATCAAAGTTATCACCGCGGTTTGCGACCGATGCTGACCAAATCAATCGCACTTTGTTGCTGGGGTTATAGTTGATTCACTAAACTGAGCGTGGATGTTCACGTTTTCATCGATAGTCTGACATTCCATTTACTGGAAAGCCCATGAATAAGCTCTACAACTCATCGGCGATTTATGATGATTCACACCAATCTGTATGCCGGTTGCAGACCTTTACTCTGAGCTAATGATGTTAATCATACAGATTAGAATCGGCAGTGGGGCTTGGTTAAAACTTACTCTTGCGTCTTTGTTCGCATGTGCTTCTACTTGCTCCTAGGAATTGTCCTCTCCTGAGAAAAGCGTCTCATGCGCAGCTAGCTTGGTGTTTACTCACTTTCATTACTCATCCACCTTTTAGCCGTCAACACACTACCAACAACTGCTTCCACAAGTCCATCCACCTTGAGCAACCAGAAAATCGCTTGGTTTACGGCGCACACAGTCCCGGTGTCTTCAAGCAAGTCAGCGTGGATTCCTGTGTTTCAACCAAAGCTGCTTACCTATCAAGAGCTACAGCGGCTCCCTGTGGCGCCCCTTCCTCCCACTCCGTTGCAGCAGCCATCGCCTCACCCTCCTGTTCAACCGATGCCGCAACTGACTATTGCAGAAGCCGCTGAGGGTATGTTATTGACTCGCATGCGACATATCCTCCATACACCGTCCACTGCGGTTGCTTTTAATCTCTTACGCGATTCAGCTAATTTCCAGAGTCGAGCCGTTTAGATATTTTATCCATCCATTCCCACCACGAAGCCTAAGACACTCAGCTCACGCTGCAGATGTTATTTATATATGCTCTCAAGACTGAAACAATTTGGTACCGCTGCTCCCTCGCCTCGCCCTGTCGTGGACGTCATAAATGTCGCCCAGCACGTTTCAGTGCATTTTCCAAGGACTGTGCTATCCCACAACGACTGATGGGTCACACAGGCTGTTGACGCAGTGCCATTTAAATACAGTTAACCCGTAGTTGTCGGTTGTCATACTGCCTACTTTCAATGTAAATACGATGTCGACGCAGCAGGTATCCTGGAACTGATATGCACTCAACTTCAGTTGCGTTCTCGATTGACTGCACATTGAAAATCTCGGCCGTATTTTTAGTACCTCGTTTTCACCTGGCCGTTCTTCTCTTATATACTGGATTTATACTCTCAAGTTGTTCCTCCTTGCCCAAACAGGAAGTGATGCGGCTTTTCTGCGTTCGGCAGAACACCTTAATTTCTGGTCTCATAACTATTTCCGGAGATGGTTGTACATCGGGAGGTTTGCATTGTTAGCCTAAGTCTGCGAGTCGCCGTACCGTTTTCATTGATACAGGATATGCCACAATAACATCCAGTTGCATATTTGGACGCTACATTTCTACATAACATGCATGCTGTCGCTATCTTCTCTGTCCTCAATCATTTTGCGGCCCCTTCAGTAGCATCCTTCGAGCCCTCTCATTTTTCTGAACCGGATTGCAGTAGAGTGTTACTGTGCGACAAAGGAATGATCTCGTACCCCACTTGCCAACTCCAGCAGCTTGTATGTCGAAAGAGGGATCCTTAGCGATATTAGTGATTCAGCATTCCGTTACAAATGCGCCTGGAATTCAGATCCAACTTTCTCATCACCCATGCCTGTCACATGTGAAGCGAAGACGCCTGTGCAGTGTGGCTGACGCGTTATGCGAGTGCATTTCAAACGCCTCGATTCCACATAGTACTCTCTAGTCACTCTGTATTTAACCAATGGAATCGATTGTCTGACTTCAATGATCGCTACACAACCCGTTTCTGCGTGCATTGGTCTCCGCCTCACACATGTCAGGCTTACGCGCCTTTAGCCAGCCGCATCGGTTTGTCTGACGATCGATCGATTATCACGGTCGGTCGCTCTGTCGGCTGCCGCTTCACAGCGGCGAAACTGCTTCACGCGCCACGGTGTGTGAATCCAACGCGTGTCTTACCGTGCCATCGATCGATTCACTGCAAACGGCCTGAAAGCCTGCTTTGTCTAAACATGCTGTCCTCTTTTGACTGACCGGAATGATTCGAGGCGCAATCCTGCTATCTCTGGCTGATGAGTGCAAACAGGTACGAAACCGGTCGTAGGATTCAGCGTTAAGAACGAAAAACATCGACTATTTATCTTCTTCAGATACAGTCCGAGTGACAGGATTAATCGACGTTCAGTACAAAATGCATTGTGGTTTTCATACAGATTGGATGTCACAGTTCATTCGCACAACTGCTTCAAAATGACCCCTCCAAGCAAAATGATGAATGATGAGCAGCACTAAATCGCAGTTAGCTTGTAAATCATGGGAGTCAGCCACTGTGCCCCGTGGTTCATTGGCATTCGCTGCTGGCTAGTGGTGCAAGTCGCCAGTGGTTATCAGTTCCGATCATGATCGAGCCGATAGATGGGCACTACCGACGAAATCCAACAGGTCGAAATGGCTGTTTATTGCATTTCCGGGGACGTGGAGGACTACCTGATTTAGAAACTGCTCCGACAAACTCAGTTAATCACGTCAAAATCCCCTACTCATGAATACAAAAATTTAGCTCTCCTTGTTTCGACTTGTCGGAGAGTTGCCGAAAGGATTACGCGCTACGATTACCCATACCCGTGGTATTTTGGAATAGTTATTTGTTTCCTCACAATTTAACAACCCAATTTATTCTATCAGAAAGCGAATAAGAAAATCTACAAATGACGGAGGAGAACTGAAGAAAAATATCCTGACTGGTGGAGGGTTGCTCTACGGAAGAAAAGCTTGACGAGTATGAACCTACGCCCCTTTTATTATCGCTTGTGTCCATCGGCGTTTTGGAAAATGGTAGACCTTAACAAATGCATTAAACAGCCATTTCGACCTGTTTGATTTCGCCAGTAGTGCGCCTTTATCGGCTCGATCATGATCGGAACTGATAACCACTGGCGACTTGCACCACTAGCCAGCAGCGAATGCCAATGAACCACGGGGCACAGTGGCTGACTCCCATGATTTACAAGCTAACTGCGATTTAGTGCTGCTTATCATTCATCATTTTGCTTGGAGGGGTCATTTTGAAGCAGTTGTGCGAATGAACTGTGACATCCAATCTGTATGAAAATCACAATGCACTTCGGACTGAACGTCGATTAATCCTGTCACTCGGACTGTATCTGAAGCAGATAAATAGTCGATGTTTTTCGTTCGCAACGCTGAATCCTACGACCGGTTTCGTACCTGTTTGCACTCATCAGCCAGAGATAGCAGGATTGCGCCTCGAATTATTCCGGTCAGTCAAAAGAGGACAGCATGTTTAGACGAAGCAGTCTTTCGGGCAGTTTGCAGTGAATCGATCGATGGCACGGTAAGACACGCGTTGGATTCACACACCGTGGCGCGTGAAGCAGTTTCGCCGCTGTGAAGCGGCAGCCGACAGAGCGACCGACCGTGATAATCGATCGATCGTCAGACAAACCGATGCGGTTGGCTAAAGGCGCGTAAGCCTGACATGTGTGAGGCGGAGACCAATGCACGCAGAAACGGGTTGTGTAGCAATCATTGAAGTCAGACAATCGATTCCATTGGTTAAATACAGAGTGACTAGAGAGTACTATGTGGAATCGAGGCGTTTGAAATGCACTCGCATAACGCGTCAGCCACACTGCACTGGCGTCTTCGCTTCACATGTGACAGGCATGGGTGATGAGAAAGTTGGATCTGAATTCCAGGCGCATTTGTAACGGAATGCTGAATCACTAATATCGCTAAGGATCCCTCTTTCGACATACAAGCTGCTGGAGTTGGCAAGTGGGGTACGAGATCATTTCTTGTCGCACAGTAACACTCTACTGCAATCCGGTTCAGAAAAATGAGATGGCTCGAAGGATGCTACTGAAGGGGCCGCAAAATGATTGAGGACAGAGAAGATAGCGACAGCATGCATGTTATGTAGAAATGTAGCGTCCAAATATGCAACTGGATGTTATTGTGGCATATCCTGTATCAATGAAAACGGTACGGCGACTCGCAGACTTAGGCTAACAATGCAAACCTCCCGATGTACAACCATCTCCGGAAATAGTTATGAGACCAAAAATTAAGGTGTTCTGCCGAACGCAGAAAAGCCGCATCACTTCCTGTTTGGGCAAGGAGGAACAACTTGAGAGTATAAATCCAGTATATAAGAGAAGAACGGCCAGGTGAAAACGAGGTACTAAAAATACGTCCGAGATTTCCAATGTGCAGTCAATCGAGAACGCAACAGAAGTTGAGTGCATATCAGTTCCAGGATACCTGCTGCGTCGACATCGTATTTACATTAAAAGCATGCAGTATTGCAACGGACAGCTTTGTGTGCTTTTTATTAGAATGTCACTGCGGCAATTGCCATATACCCATATAAATACATATATATATATATATATATATATATATATATATATATATATATATATATATATATATATGGCCCCATGCTGAGGCTGATGTTGCATTCTTGATGCTTCTTCACCGCAGTTGGGCTAAACCAACTTACACTTAAACTAGGTCTTTTTAAGCTGGCTAAATTTCATTCCGCTTTATTTGGTTTGTTCTGCCTCCCTGAATAATGTTCTATTAACTGGCCACGTTGCTTACACTAATTGCGCTTATCTTCGGTAATTTTGTTGCGTTTGTAGCATTTTAAGTAACTTGTGGACATTTCTTACTTATCACGGATTTGTTGCTAACCAACTTACTTCATATGGTAATTTAGCGAAGAGTTATGCCACCGTATCTGTATGCATTATTGGATTTATTTTATTTCAGCTTGTCGTTTAAATTGAATGGCTGTTGTTTGATATCCCTGGTATGGTTGCGCTTGATGTGTATGTTGACAAGGTGCCTACCTGTCTATTACCCACTACATCGTTCATACTGGCTCCAGGAGACAGTTGGTCGTTGCTGGAGGGGACGGGGTGCACGGTTCTTGTGGCCGTGCTAGGCTCAAAGAGCGGTTCCATGCACTCAGTGTGGAGCGGACTACGGTCCAGCCACCGCCTTGTGTGCGGTTGATTCCCCAAATACAGCGTGCTTGTGTTTGCCTGTGAAGGAGTGTGGGCCGGCTCCGTTGATGAAACGTGGTTCCCATCCGCATGCCTCCCGGTCTTATTCCTTCGGGTTTACACTGGATATGGGGTATGTGGTTGGAGCTGTGGGTGGTGCAGCGCAAGCCATCCATGGTCCCTCTGTAGGCGCAGGCGTCCTGTGGCTTGCCACAGTGACAGGCAAATCCGAAACCGGATGCCGCCAACCATATATATATATATATATATATATATATATATATATATATATATATATATATATATACATATATATATACATATATATATATATATATATATATATATATATACATATATATATACATATATATATATGGTTGGCGGCATCCGGTTTCGGATTTGCCTGTCACTGTGGCAAGCCACAGGACGCCTGCGCCTACAGAGGGACCATGGGTGGCTTGCGCTGCACCACCCACAGCTCCAACCAAACACCCCATATCCAGTGTAAACCCGAAGGAATAAGACCGGGAGGCATGTGGATGGGAACCACGTTTCATCAACGGAGCCGGCCCACACTCCTTCACAGGCAAACACAAGCACACTGTATTTGGGGAGTCAAGCGCACACAAGGCGGTGGCTGGACCGTAGTCCGTTCCACACTGAGTGCATGGAACCACTCTTCGAGCCTAGCA